ACTTGATATTCTCAGAGAAGGGAACTGGTGGAAGAAGATTACAAATACAGAAGGGGAAGATGATGAATTTGGCTTGGGAAGTGTTAAGTTTGAGCTGTCTTTAAGACACCCAGTAGGTGGGTGTTGTGGGACACTTGCATCCCATGTTTGTAGTGCTGGTTTGAGTCTCAGCTACTCTGTGCTTCCAATCCAGCTTCCGGTTAATGTGCTTTGGAGGCAGCAAATGATGGCCCAAGTATGGGTTCCTCCCACCCATATAGGAAGCCTGGATGGAGTTCCCAGATTTAGGCTTTGGCCTGAACAGCCCTGGCTATCTGGGCATTTGGGGAGTAAACCAGGAGATGAAAAATCAGTCTGTCTGTCTGTCTCTCTCTCTCTCTCCTTCTCCACCCCCACCCCTCTCTTTCTCTGTGTCTCTTCCTCTCTCTCTCTTGCTTAGCTTTTCAAATAAATACATCTTTTAAAAAGACAATTAAAAGTGTCAAATATGTATCTTGATTTATGGATCTGGAGCTCAGATGTCTTCACTAGAGTTATAAACCTGTGGCTCATCTGCATAAAGAAGGTAACAGAAGCACAGCTGGATCTCAAGAATATAGTTGAGAGACTGTCAATAGTTAAAGGTTGCTGAGGGGGGCAGCACTGTGGCACAGCGGGTAAAGCTGCCACCTGCGGCGCCAGAATCCCATATGGGCACCAGTTCAAGTCCTGGCTGCTCCTCTTCTGATCCAGCTCTCTGCTATAACCTGGGGAAGCAGTAGAAGAAGGTCCAAATGCCTGGGCCCCTGCACCCACATGGGAGACCAGGAGGAGGCTCCTGGCTCCTGGCTTTGCATCGGCTCAGCTCTGGCTGTTGTGGCCATCTGGGGAGTGAACTAGCAGATGGGAGACCTTTCTCTCTGTCCCTCCCTCTCTCTGTCTGTAACATTACCTCTCAAAGAAATAAATAAAATCTTAAAAAAAAATAAAAATAAAAATAAAGTTTGCTGAAGATAAGAAAGAGTGCATTCTAACACAGAAGCATGGCTGGGCTTAGTTGTGGGAAAGCACTGTCCCTTAAGCAGTAGGGAATAAATGGACCAGAAACACACAAACTTTGGAAACTTTTTTGTCTTGTTGTATTTAAAGATTTTGTGGGTCAGTCAGCTGGACAATGCAGGCATAGAAATATAGAAGGTTGATGGCCAGTGCCGTGGCTCAATAGACTAATCCTCCGCCTTGCAGCGCCGGCACACCGGGTTCTAGTCCCGGTCGGGACGCCGGATTCTGTCCCGGTCGCCCCCTCTTCCAGGCCAGCTCTCTGCTGTGGCCCGGGAGTGCAGTGGAGGATGGCCCAAGTGCTTGGGCCCTGCACCCGCATGGGAGACCAGGAGAAGTACCTGGCTCCTGGCTTTGGATCAGCACGATGTGCCAGCCGCGGTGGCCATTGGAGGGTGAACCAACGACAAAAAGGAAGACCTTTCTCTCTGTCTCTCTCACTGTCCACTCTGTCTGTCGAGAATCTATATTCCAAAGAAAAAGAAGAAAGAAATATAGAAGGTTGGATTTATCTGGATTAAGGTTTTCTCAGGAAAATACATAAAAAATACAGGGAATGAGAGAAATTAAGGATTAAGCAGGAGTGGCAGAATCTAAAACTGATTGAGAAAAGAACTGAAGAAAGAAAGATGGGTTGATAAAAAGCAGCAGGGCCAGTAGATGAGGCCTTGCAAGGAGGTCAAATACTACCACAGTCAGGGTGGGTAAATAACAAACTAAAAAGAGAGGAAGTTGTCATAAGACTGAAGTAACTGGCATAGTGATTTTCATAAACAGAGCAATTACTGGCGATGACAAAGTCCAAGATGCAACCACAGGAGCAGGTAGATGAATGGAGGGAGGTCTTTGGAAATAAGCAGGTTGGCGCACCAAGGGCATAAAGCTGGAAACAACCTTCATGCTGACAAGATGGGCCCTGGGAGGTGGTGAAGGGTTTTCAATCCACAGGAAGTTTGGAAGCCGGGTGAAAAAGTGCTCAGGAAGCGGCCCTACCAAAGTCAGGAAAAGAAGGAGGAAAGAGAGAGAAAGCTCATCGCCTTCAGAAGAAGGTGCACACTGGTTTGGTTGTGGTGACTTTCCTGAACAATCAGTTTAAGAAATAATGATCTGGGGGCTGGCGCTGTGGCATAGAAGGTAGAGCCACCACCTGCCGTGCCAACATCCCATACAGGTGTCGGTTTGAGTCCTGGCAGCTCCACTTTTGATCCAGCTCCCTGCTGGCTCCCGCCTGGGAAAGCAGTGGAAGATGGCCCAAGTCCTTGAGCCCCTGCACCTGCACCCACGTGGGAGACCTGGAAGAAGCTCCTGGTTCCTGGCTTCCAATCAATCCAGCTCTGGCCACTGTGGGCATTTGGGGAGTAAACCAGTGAATGGAAGACCTCCCTCCCTCTCTCTTTTCCTCTCTCTCTCTCTGCCTCTCTCTACCTCTGCCTTTCAAACAAATAAATTTAAAAAAAGAAACAAACAAACAAAGAACGATCTAGGGGCTGGCACTGTAGCACAGTGGGTAAAGTCACCGCCTGTGATGCCAGCATCTCATATGGACGCCGGTTCCAGTCCCAGCTGCTCCACTTCCAAACCAGCTCCCTGCTAATGGCCTGGGAAAAGCAGCAGCAGAAGGCCTAAATTCTTGGTCCCCTGCCATCCACGTGGGAGACTCAGATGAAGCTGCTCTCTTAGGCCTGGCCCAACTCTGGCCATTGCAGCCATCTGGAGAGTGAATCAGCAGATGGAAAGATATCGCTTTCTCTCTCTCTCTCTCTCTCTCTCTCTCTCTCTCTCTTTCTCTGTCCCTCCCTTCCTCTCTCTAACTCCTTCAAATAAATACATAAAACTTTTTTAAAAAAAAGAAATAATGATGCGGAAGCACAACTATGTCCCAGAGTTACAACAATCTTTCTACCTATCCCAAAGCAAGTGAGATGAGAGGAAATAAAATGCCGTGATGTCAGAGGGTTACAAGAGAAGCAGTCCTCGACGGAGGACAAGCCTCAGTGCAGTCAGAGATGAGCAGAGCCTACGAGGACGAGGGAGACGAGGCACAGCATGGTGATGCTGCAATAGTTCCACGCGGCACAGTGAAGAGTATGAGAGGTAGGGAGGCGAGGGCTCTGCATTGAAGCAGATAAGGAAAGACCATTATAAAGACAATTGTACTGAGGAAGGAGTTGATGACATGGTGGGAGTTTATTCTTGAAAACAGGGATGTCAGATTTCAAGTAAGAAGCTATTTTGAGAGTGCACACTGATCTTGGTAGCCAGAAATAAAGCACTCAGCACAGCCGATGGCCAACAGATATGGTCTCCATGTGCTATGTTGGCTGAACACCAGATCTACAGCAGGGTTCTTCGGTCTCAGCACTACTGACATTCTGGGCTAGACTGTTTTGGCAGTGGAGGTTGTCCTGTTTCCCAGGATCTCTGCTCCTTACCCTCCAGATGTCAGTTGTACCACCACTCCCAAGTTACGCTGCCAGGCATTGAACAATGTACTCTGATGACAAAAATCATCCCCCATTGAAAGCAACAGTACAAAGACACTACACCTGCTAGAGCAATGCCACCCTCTCTGAACACATTTCTGAACGTCATTTCTAATAGCTTCGGAGTTACAGAAGAAAGCAGATACCGTTATTTACTAGACATGTGAAATTCTTAACATAAAAAATGTATTCTCTAAGTGTATCACCTCCCTTATTCTTTGCTGCATGGAGGATGACAAAAAATCTGCCTCCAGTGAGAATATTCACATGGATGCCATGCACTTCCTCACTGGCTGCGGCTCACTATGTGGAATGCGCCAAGCTCCTTCCTGCCTCAGGGAACCCCCCCATGTCTCATCCTCCAAATTTGTTCACAGAGCATTTCCTCAGAAGGGTGTTTCCTTACTGTACCCACCCCGTACTCATCCTTCAGAGCCCTGTTCTCAAGCTGCTTCATTATTGATGGGATTCTTTGCTTGAATGTTTTCCCCAGATACATTTCATGAGTGCAAGAATTTTATCTGTATTCTTCATAGCTGTATCCTCCCTACCAAGAAATGAATGTACATTAAGTAAATGAATTATAAGAAAAATGTTGTGTTGAGGCCAGCGCCGTGGCTCAACAGGCTAATCCTCCACCTTGCAGCGCCGGCACACCAGGTTCTAGTCCCGGTCGGGGCACCGGATTCTGTCCCGGTTGCCCCTCTTCCAGTCCAGCTCTCTGCTGTGGCCCGGGAAGGCAGTGGAGGATGGCCCAAGTGCTTGGGCCCTGCACCCGCATGGGAGACCAGGAAAAGCACCTGGCTCCTGGCTTCAGATCAGCGTGATGCACTGGCCGCAGCGCGCCGGCTGCGGTGGCCATTGGAGGGTGAACCAACGGCAAAAAGAAGACCTTTCTCTCTGTCTCTCTCTCTCACTGTCTAACTCTGCCTGTCAAAAATAAAAAAAATTTAAAAAAAGAAAAATGTTGTGAGTATTTCACAATTAAGTGTTTTTACTCCCCCAGACAATTGCTTTGCAGGAGGCAAATTCATATATTTATATGTATAAATGATCTTCAAAAAACTTCTTGGAAAATAGATTCTTCAAAAACTATGCATGGATTTCGGCAAATAAACTTGTCTTTTAAATCCATTTTTTCCACAACCTTTGCAAAGTCCCCTCACATAGTTTTAGATTCCTTCTGTAATCACCTTTACAGCAGTATGCCTTCTGTCTGAGCAAGGTTGACATCCTAAATAAGCTAACGCTAAAACGTAGTGTCATTCAAGGTGTCATCAAGTATATCCGGGTTTGACCAATAACCAATCGCAGCAGTCAGTTCCTACGTGACCCTACTAAATTCACAGAGGCTCAGACTTCATTCCTTCCAACTACACATCAAGCCCTTGCTCTAAACCCAGTCGTAGAATGCGCACTATTACTGTGACTGCTTCAGGGCTCACTACACAAAGCCGGGGCATACCCTTGAAGGCACACCTGAGGCAACGTTCAGACGGCATTCTCCAGCTGGGTTCCTCAGGGTCTCGGTCTTAGAAGTTGGCAGAGAAGTCAGCACGCATTCCAGCTGAGCAGAAAAGACAAAGAAGAGCGTATTGAGCCAGGCGCAAAATAACCATGTTCTGGGGCTTGAGGGCACTAAAGATTTATAATCCCCCAGGAGGCAGCCTGGAGAGTTTTATTGTCAACATATAACATTCTGACACAATCTTTCTTTAAGATTTATGTTTTATTTATTTGAAAGGCAGAGTTACAGAGAGAGGGAGAGAGGTCTTCCACCAGGTGGTTCACTCCCCAAATGGCCACAGTGCCTGGAGCTCAGCCAGGCAGAAGCCAGGGGCTTCTTCAGGTCTCCCATGTGAGTGCAAGGACCCAAGCACTTGGGCTATCCTCTGCTACTTTCCCAGGCATATTAGCAGGGGTCTGGGTCAGAAGTGGAGCAGTTGAGGGCCGGTGCCATGGCTCACTTGGCTAATCCTCCGCCTGTGGTGCCGGAATCCCATATGGGCCCCGGGTTCTAGTCCCGGTTGCTCCTCTTCCTGTCCAGCTCTCTGTTGTGGCCCAGGAGTGCAGTGGAAGATGGCCCAAGTGCTTGGGCCCTGCAACTGCATGGGAGACCAGGAGGCGGCACCTGGCTCCTGGCTTCAGATCGGTGCAGCACGCCGGCCGTAGCAGCCATTTGTGGGGTGAACCAACGGAAAAAGGAAGACCTTTCTCTCTGTCTCTCTCTCTCTGAAACTCTATCTGTCAAATAAATAAATAAATAAATAAAATCTTAAAAAAAAAAAAAAAAAAAAGAAGTGGAGCAGTCGGGACTCGAACCAGCACCCATAAGGAATGCAGCACTGCAGGCAACAGCTTTACCTGCTACACCACAGCACCAGCCCAACAAAGCTCTTTTAACAAGCAACAGTTCTGGATGTTTTCAGGGTTTAAAAGTTTTTCACATTATTGGAACTTTGGGGACTAGAAATAAAATATGTTGGAGAATCAATAAGAGTTAATTGAAGGTTGATGCAAAATGAAAACATCAGATGGTCAAGGGGAAAAATTAAGATTTGATAAAGCTTTAAAATCTAAGTTAAAGAGGCCGGCGCCGCAGCCCAATAGGCTAATCCTCTGCCTAGCAGCGCCGGCACACTGGGTTCTAGTCCCGGTCGGGGCACCGGATTCTGTCCCGGTTGCCCCTCTTCCAGGCCAGCTCTCTGCTATGGCCCCGGAGTGCAGTGGAGGATGGCCCAAGTGCTTGGGCCCTGCACCTCATGGGAGACCAGGAGAAGCACCTGGTTCCTGACTTCAGGCTGGCCGCAGCGCGCCAGCCGCGGCGGCCATTGGAGGGTGAACCAATGGCAAAAGGAAGACCTTTCTGTCTCTCTCTCTCTCACTGTCCACTCTGCCTGTCAAAAAAAAAAAAAAAAAAAATCTAAGTTAAAGAGGCGGGTGTTTGGTATAAAGGTTAAAACAGCACGTGGGACACCCATATCAGATTCAAGTCCTGGAATCCAAGTCCTAATTCTGATCCCAAGTCAGCTTCTTGCTAATGTGCACCTCTAGGAGGCAGCCAGTGATGCTTCTTCAAGTGGTTGGGTTTCCGTCGCTCACATGGAAGACCCAGATTCTGGGCACCTGGCTTCCACCTGGCCCAGACCTAGCTGTTGCAGGCATTTGGGGAGTGATCTAGTGGATGAGATCTCTCTGCCCGTTTCTCTTTCTCTCTCTCTCCCTTTCAATTATATAAGATGAATACATTTTTTTAAAAAAATGATATACAAATTGTCTTGTCCTTTACAGAGATTTTACTTTCCTTCCAAACATGATTTGTGAAATTAAGTTAAAAATCAATTATATCTTGGCTGAGTGTCTATAGAAAGATGATTTTCTAATCAAGGAGCATATTTCTGAAAATTTGATGGGAAAAAAGGCAACACTGAGGAAAGATGAAAATTAGGAGGAAATGAAAAATGGATTCTTACCAGAGCTTCAGAAATATGTACGAGGATAGAGTTATCAGGCTTGAAATTGCTCCTTGGTTCTATATTTACTCTTTTAGTCTCTAATGCCCACCCTCGCCTGTGTTTTTAATCATTGTAGTAACTCTAAACAGAAATATAAATTATTTGAGTAGTCTGGGACCTGGTCCATGACTATACTTTACAAATGAGGGCCTAGCTCTCATTTTCTAATACACTCAAGTATTAAAATGAATTACTCACTGGATAAATGAAACAGGCTTCCTTCTATCTCAATTTTATTTCAAAAAGTGACAACAGGGTAGAGATAAAGTTAACTGAAAATAGGTGTAAAAAAAAGAAAAATGGAATGGAAATAGGAAAGGGAGGAAAAAGGGTGGAATGCAGGTGGGAGGGAGGGTATAACTGGAAGAATCACTATCTTCCTCAATTGGTACACGTGAAATGCAGAAAGCTTGTATTCTTTAAATAAAATTTAAAAAAAGAAATGCTTGTGAAATGAATAAAGTGGTAATTACTCTAAAATTAGAATCTGTAGTTTGACTAAAACAGTTTATTAAATTATATACAAATACAATATGATTGTATAAGACTTCATGTGGTATATCTTGATTTGGCTTATTATTATTCTGTTGTTATTGCACATCAGGCTATTTAAAACATTTTTATAGAATTACATTTTGTATTTTTTATTATATTTTAATTATTGAAAATAGGATATATATTTTTTTCCTTTATTTTCCATTTAAGTTTTGACAGATTTAAAAAGTGACTTTTTTTTTTTTTTACAGGCAGAGTGGACAGTGAGAGAGAGAGAGACAGAGAGAAAGGTTTTCCTTTTTTTCTGTTGGTTCACCCTCCAATGGCCGCCGCGCTGCAGCCAGCGCACCGCGCTGATCCGAAGCCAGGAGCCAGGTGCTTCTCCTGGTCTCCCATGCGGGTGCAGGGCCCAACGACTTGGGCCATCCTCCACTGCACTCCTGGGCCATAGCAGAGAGCTGGCCTGGGAGAGGGGCAACTGGGACAGAATCCGGTGCCCCGACCGGGACTAGAACCTGGTGTGCTGGCGCCGCTAGGCCTATTGAGCCGCGGCGCCGGCCCCACCATTTTTAATTAATCCATTATGACTGAGCAGCACAGGCAGTTGGAATAATTCAAAGCAAGATGTTTAATTAGCTAACAGACTTGCTTAGCAACCTGTTGTTACTACAATTTCCTTCCAAAATCTGGGTTATAAACTCCAGGCTGTTATAGCCTAACACAAACACTAATAGACACAGACACTTGAACTTTAAAATGGTTGAGAACAGTTATTATTATAGGGAAGTGAAAAACTATCTCTCTGAAAAGCCCACTGTTTAAAAAGAAAGAAAAAAAAACCTCTCAACAATTCAATCAGTTGACAAGAAGAATCCCGAGAGTTAAAAATATTTCAAAATGAAAAGACAATATCTAAATTGATCTTCTTAGGCATTTCAAATGTGTTCATTAAAAATCCTAACATAAATTAAATTCCCTTCTACAGATGCTTATTGTTTGGAGATCGACTCACTGAATGAGTCTTCTAACAAATAACCTAGTTGTAATCTGTAACATGCTACAAAGTTAGTGACATGGACACCATTTTAATAGTGAGTTAAAATGAGTTTAGGAAGACTCACCACTGAAAGGGATTTATTGTTATTTATGTTCGGACTTGTCCTGCATGGCCTGCAGTGCCAGGATGGTGGGGCGATGGCGTTCTTCAACCAGAAGCATTGGAAACAAGTTTTGGTGAATATGCCCGTCTATTATCAAACACACCTTTTAAAGGGCAGGCAGAGGGGGCATAGCTAATTCAGTGCAACACTAATTCTATAGGATAAAGCCGATATTGGCACCACTATGCTTCTCCAATCAGCTTGAAGGTCACGTAGCTTAGTAGCCTTCCAGGTAATCCTTATGGGCCTGGGCCACACCCGGGAGCCATTTACCTGGTTGGTAATTACAAAGCACTTCAACGGGGTGGGGGGTGAGGGTGTGCCTGGTGCTCCTGCCATCTGCCAGCACTCAGGCCACCCCTGGAGGCATGGTGTGCCACACCCTCCTAACCTCCTGCATAGGCTAGGCAAGCAGTCCCCCAGCCAGGCAAACTTCACATATCAATTGGCCAATATAGTAGCCGGTCCGTGCTGGGCTACTTATCTTTCCTGAACCTCAATGCCTCATTTTCTAAAAATATAAATAATACCACTTTGTCACAGGATAGTATAATGTATATCATGTACCTGGCTCAAGGACTGGTAAACATCGACATGTGTCCCCTTTTATTGTACACACAAATGTGAATCACAGGGGTACTTGCCTGCGTGGTGGGCATGTAGATGGATTTTTACTTTCATCTCACTCACTCCCTGCTAATGTAGTTCATGTGCCAAGTACTAATGGTTTTTTTAAACCAAAAACGAGTATGGCAGCAATCCTCCTCAGAGTGTTTGACGCAGACCCCTCACTCCAAGCTTCCCAGGGAAAGCTGGCCATGCACCCCAAGAAACACCATAAATACTTCTCAAAAACTACAGCAACTCACAACTCTTCACTGCCCTCACTCTTGGGAAATGTTCTTAGTGGAATTACCTCAGTCACTGATCAGCTTCTTTTCAAATATATAATCTGCTTGCTACATAGGACTGGTGGGGTTTAAACTTTAGAGTTTTTAATTTCATTAAAATGTCTCAAGGTTGTCAGAGTCTAATTTAGGTATTTTGAAGTGAACCTTGAAGATACACTGTTTTCAGAAAAAAAAAGCTATATATCTCATTGAAACACAATAGTATGAACAGAGAGGGGGGAAGTCTTCAAGACATGAAAAACAAGAATGAGCAGACAGGCTAATCTAGGTTAGAATGGTAAGCACAGGACACATAAAGTACTCAGAGGAAAGTCATCTCAGTTATGTGGATGCATTCCAGTTCTACCAATATGTAAGGAACTGGTGGGAGCAGGTATTTGGCACAGCAGTTAGGAGGCTGCTTGGGATGCCCGTATCCCATATCGGGGTGTCTGGTTCAAGTCCAGTTCCTCTACTTCCAATCCAGTTTCTGCTAATGCACATCCTGGGAGGCAGAAGACTATACAGCCTAAGCAATGGGTCCCTGCCACCCTTGTAGGAAACCTGGACTGAGTTCTGTGCCCCTGGCTTCTGCCTGTTCCAGCCCTGGAGGTATCTAGGGGCAGGTAACCCAGTTGCAGGTATCTGGGAATGAACCAACAGATGGGAGATCTTGCTTCTCCTGCCCCCCGCAGACTGTCTCCCTTCATTTACTAAATAATTTTTTAAAAGGGGGGTAGGCATTGTCATACAGCAGGTTAAGCTGCCGCTTGGGATTCCTGTACCCAACTGGAATGCTAGTTTGAGTCCTAGCTCATCTGCTTCTGATGCAGTTCCCTGCTAATGCTTCCTAGGAGGCAGAAATGCTTGGGCTTCTGCCTCTCGTGTGGGAGACCCAGATGGAGTCCTGGGCTCCTGGCTTTTGCCTGGCTTAGCCTGATTGCTGGCAGTACTGGGGAAGTGAACCAATGAATTGCGGATCTCTTCCTCTCTCTCTCCCCTCCAATCTCTCTGTTGCTCTGCTTTTCAAGTAGATGAAAATAAATATTTTAAAAGAAACTGGTTTATTCTTGCTATTATTATGTATTTGTTTAATAATGTAATAGAATTATACTCCTCATAATAATATATGATGATTTCAAAGTATTGCTTATTCTTGATCTCAGCAATTTTTACTAGTAATTAAAGGGAACTATTACTAGACATTAAGCAGGCAAAAGTAAAATACCAGAGATACAGAGGTGTAACATTGGAGAAAAAGGTCTAGAGATTAAAAAAAATTATGAATTACAAGTATAGGTCTTTACCAAGAAGGCCTAGTTACACAAGATAATTCTTCAACATGCTCAAGGGCTGTAGATCTCAATTCTGTATCAAATTACTGTGACTTGAAAGGCAATGTTGCTTCTAAGCATAAAATGGATTGAGACACAGTTATAATTTTGTTCATGCATTATATATAGTAATAATTTATCTTTAATTCTAGAATTTCTGATTACTGCAAAAAATAGTAATTTTTTAACATCAGGATATAATCCATGTGGTGCTTAATAAATGTCTTTTGTTCTGAACAGCAAATATGCAAAGGTATCATACTGGTACAATTCATTCCTGAAGATCAATGAAGATGGTTCCCATTTCAGAGAACAAAGACACCTAAGTTCTTCCTCCAAATGAAATAGAATTGAGGGGTCCAGCACTGTGGTGTAGTGGGTAAAGCCGCCACCTACAGTGCCAGCATCCCATATGGGCACTGGTTCGAGTCCCAGCTACTCCACTTCCAATCCAGCTCTCTGCTATGGCCTGGGAAAGCAGTAGAAAATGGCCCAAGTCTGTGGGCCCCTGCACCTACTTGGGAGACCTGGCGGAAACTCCTGGCTCCTGGTTTCAGACAGCGCAGCTCTGGCCATTGTGGCCGACTGGGGAGTGAACCAGCAGATGGAAGAACGCTCTCTTTATATATAACTCTGACTTTCAAATAGAAAAATAAATCTTTAAAAATAAAATAGAATTGAGGCTGGCGCCACGGCTCACTAGGCTAATCCTCTGCCTGCAGCACCTGCACACCAGGTTCTAGTCCCAGTCGGGGCGCCGGATTCTGTCCCGGTTGCCCCCCTTCCAGGTCAGCTCTCTGCTGTGGTCCGGGAGTGCAGTGGAGGATGGCCCAAGTCGTTGGGCCCTGCACCCCATGGGAGACCAGGAGAAGCACCTGGCTCCTGCCTTCGATCAGTGCGGTGCGCCGGCGACAGCGCGCCGGCCGCGGCGGCCATTGGAGGGTGAACCAACAGCAAAGGAAGACCTTTCTCTCTGTCTCTCTCTCTCACTGTCCACTCTGCCTGTCAAAAAAAAAAAAAAAAAAAAAAGTAGAATTGAGAAGACTGACCGCTCATAGGAAAAGTTCAGAGGATAATCAAGAGCACAGTTTATAACCTCAAGAGAAATTAAGGCCAAAAGAACAACACTGCCCTATTCCTCAGAAACACCCTACAACCCCTTTAGTATATAAAAGTCTTGATTATTCAGAACATACTCACTGGAATAATAACCTTGAAGCCTTTCTATTAAACAGCTGCTATTATAAGTTGTAATTCAAAAATATTTGAAATAATAACCATTTCACCTACTATCATGAACTAAATGCTTTCTTTGGCTGCTATTATACTAAGAAGTGCTTTAAATGAATGATCTAATTTAATTCTCATGATAAGCTAATGTGGGAGATACAATTCTCACTGTACTGACAAGTAACTTTGGGGTAAGTAATTCACCAGAAGTCTCAGAACCAGAAATTACATCAGTTGCCCCCACCTCACTCTTACCCAAGGCAGTAGATCTTTATGTGGATGACCAGTCTTTCTGGGTGGTCAGTGTTGCCTATTGTCCCAGGGTACTTCATCCAATTTTCTTTTTCATTTTCCAGTTTGGATGTTACATTTGGTCATCCAATCTCTATGGACAGAATCCATACAGATAACTATCTTGCTTGCTGTTCTGAATCCTCAGAGACTATTTTTTATTTTCACAAAATCTCCCAAGGCAGAAAAAGTAGAAGTACAATGTACTTCATTTTAGAATGAAGAGAATGAGAGCTTAATGACAGATTATTTGCATATATTGAACCACAAAATTTTAGATTACATTATAAAATCCATTCCCTAAAAAAACAAAACACTACACCAAATATCAAACATGTCTTTATATAAGAACAAGGTTAAAATATCCAGCAACACTCATGAATACAGATGGGGACCAAAGGAACCAGATGAAAATATAATGTCAGTTCTTGCAGTCACATTAACACACCTCTTCTCAGCTCTTATTTTAATTGAATTTTTAGTTCCATCACTCCTCTATGAATAGAAACATAAAATGCTTGGATCAGTTACACAGTCTTGTCAAAATAACCTAACCTGCAATTATAACATCCGGAGGTGCTTTTACAAAAATGCTGCCATGAAAACTTTTTTATTGAATTTCTTATAGCTCTTGTGCCACTTAAAACTTAATTATCCTTCTGCAGCTTTACAGAGCGTACAATATAGATCCTGAGTGTTCTGCTGGTACATGAATTATTTACTTCAAATAAGGTAAAATCATCAATGTGTTACATACATGCACTTATTTTATTCCATCAGAAAACTCTGTACAAAAAAGTTCTTAACCAGATAGTAAATTACCACTCTTCTCTGATTAAAGAATGCCTCATAACACCTGGGAAATATAAGGTTTACATCCTCAACTCTATGATCTTGATGTGATCCAAATTACATTTTTAAAATAGAGAAATGGTCATACTGTTTAATTATAAAACAGACTATTCACTCAACAATACTTTCTATATGCTTAATACATTTTCAGTCATCATAGAACAAGATTTAATGAGATACATGAAAAGATTAAAAATAGTATTTGCCTTCAAATAAGGTATATTCTACAAAATAAGGATAACATCTGCATATTCAATTATACTAACTATACTATATATACTAAATATATTTATACTATATACTTAAATTTACTTACATACTATATACTTAAAATATGATTATATGCGGCCGGCGCCGCGGCTCAATAGGCTAATCCTCCGCCTGTAGCGCCGGCACACTGGGTTCTAGTCCCAGATTCTGTCCTGGTTGACCCTCTTCCAGGCCAGCTCTCTGCTATGGCCCAGGAGTGCAGTGGAGGATGGCCCAAGTGCTTGGGCCCTGCACCCGCATGGGAGACCAGGAGAAGCACCTGGCTCCTGGCTTCGGATCAGCGCGATGCGCCAGCCGCGGCGGCCATTGGAGAGTGAACCAACGGCAAAGGAAGACCTTTCTCTCTGTCTCTCTCTCTCTCACTGTCCACTCTGCCTGTCAAAAAAAATATGATTATATGCTCTAAGACATTCTGTATTTTCTTCTATTAAGAGATGTACAAATTTTTCTCATGTTAAAATTCTTAAAATTAGAGTTGTACTTTAAAACAATATATACATTAATATATATATTACTGATATGTATATATTACTGATACTATATATATATAGTACTGATATACTTCTTACATATGCGAGAAACAGAACTAAAGAAACACTGTAGTTCAAGTGCCTACTTGTGGAGGTTATGAACATACAGATACATGTACTATTATATTTAATTCTTACAATAATCTAGCATTGCAAAAATTAAATGGATGGATTGAGTTTCCTGCTCTGGCTTCAGCCTCAGCCAAGCCATGGTCATTACAGGCAGCTGAAGAGTGAACCAGCAGATGGGAACTTTCTCTCTCTCTCTCTCTCTCTCTCTCTCTCTGCTTCTCAAATAAATTTTTAAAACTTTCTTTTAAAGATTTATTTACTTATTTGAAAGGCAGAGTTACAGAGAGGCAGAGGCAGAGAGAGAGACAGAAAGGTCTTCCATCCACTGGTTCACTCCCCAAATGGCCGCAACAGACAGAAGTGAGCTGATCCAAAGCCAAGAGCCAGGAGTTTCTTCCAGGTCTCCCGCATGGATACAGGGTCCAAGGACTTGGACCATCTTCTACTGCTTTCTCAGGCCACAGCAGAGAGTTTGATAGGAAGCAGACCAGCCGGGACTCAAACCGGTGCCCATATGGGATGCTGGCACTGCAGGTGGCGGCTTTACCGGCTACGCCACAGCACCAGTCCCAAAAAACATGTTTTAGAAAAAAAAAAAGTAAAAGGGGTTCTATTTTCCAAGAAAAAACAGAGGCTCAGAAAGCTGAAATGCCTGAACTAAAAAGTTGGTATCTGGTAAACCAAGACTTGAACCAGTTCTTTTATGTGCATCTGCACCACCTGTTCTACCAAAGAAGATACCGATATTGGTGAGAACACCAGGGGAGGGTAAACAAAGGAGCACAGGAGAAAGGGGAGAAAGGAGAAGGAAATGAATGGTTCAATACACACAGATATGGAGACTTCTAAGTTACACATTTGTAAAACGAGAAATCTGTGCCAGCTGGAAATGCAGTGTAGTGAACTGGTTAAGAGAGGGGGTTCTGGGGACTGGCCCTGTGGCGCAGTGGGTATAGCCACTGCCTGCAGTGCCAGCATCCCACATAGGTGCCAGTTCTAGTCTCAGCTGCTCCACTTCTGATCCAGCTCTCTGCTATAGCCTGAGAAAGCAGTAGAGGATGGCCCAAGTGTATGGGCCCCTGCTCCTTCATGGGAGACCCAGAAGAAGCTCCTGGCTCCTGGCTTCAGATGGGTGCAGCTCTGGCCATTGCAGGCATTTGGGGAGTGAACCAGTGGGTGGAAGATTTCTCTCTCCCTCTCTGCCTCTGCCTCTCCATCACTCTGCCTTTCAAATAAAGTAAATAAATCTTTTAAAAAATAATAAAAAATAAAAAAACTAAAGAGGGGGTTCAGGAACTCTATAACCCAGGTTCACAACCTGGTTCTGGTACTGTTTGTGGTACTGTTCATGGAGTTACTTTATTTCCTTAAACCTCAAATTCTTATTTAGTCCAAGGTATATAATAATGAAAGCTACCAAAAGTCTTCAAGTTAAAGATGGTAGATTGAACATGTCTACTCAAATGTTTACACTGACTGCAACAAACATCATGACTTCAGAATGTCAAATTTCTTTTTTTTAAAAGATTTTATTGTATTTATTTGAGAGGTAGAGTTACAGATAGTGGGAGGGAGAGACAGAAAGGTCTTCCGTCTGCTGGTCCACTCCACAGATGGCCCCAATGGCCAGAGCTGAGCTGATCTGAAGCCAGGAGCCAAAAGCCTCTCTCGGGTCTCCCACGAGGGTGCAGAGGCCCAAGCACCCGGGCCGTCTTCCACTGCTTTCCCAGGCCATAGCAGAGAGCTGGATCGGAAGAGGAGCAGCCGGGACCAGAACCAGTGCCCATATAGGATGCTGGCACTGCAGATGAAGGATTAACCTACTGTGCCACAGCTCCGGCCCCAGGATGTAAAATTTCAAAAGAAATATTTCATCATCATCATTTGATGAAATTATCCCACTGAAATCATTGTAAAGGAAGAAATTATTTCACTGAAATCATTGTAAAGGAATTAAAAAGCAACAGTAGTAAACCAAACACATCAAAGAAAACAAAAGGAGAAACAAAAATCATAAAACTTGAAGCTGGGGAAGAGATGGATGCACAATGACTGATTTAGTAAAACCAGCAAAGGTGAATTCCAATCTCATAATAGGGGAGAAAAAAAAATCCAACTGCATCAACAAATGTACATCCAGAAGACTACAGAACTGACGGCACCAGCATGAGGTTAATGCTATGAGCTGAATGTTTGTGCTCCCCTAAAATTCACAACAAAACCCTAATAACCAAATTGATAGTTTTGGAGATAAAGCCTTCGGGAGCTAACTAATTCAAGAAGGTGGAGCGCTCATGTTGGAATTAGTCACCTTATGAGAAGCAACAGGAGAGAGCTGCTTCCTCCAATTGCTGTCCTGCACATGAGGACACAATGAGGAGACGGTCATCTACAAACCAGGTAGCAGACATCACTAGACCCCAGGCCTCCCAGCTCCTTGATCTTGGACTTTCCAGCCTCTAGAAGTTTAAAAAATGAGTATGTCTTGTTTGAGCCACCCAGTCTATAATAGTTTGTTACAGCAGCTCAAACTGGCTAAGATAGTTGACAATAGAAAAATGAGGGGAAGATCTGCCTAAAAAGTAATTCAAACTCCTGGATCCCATCCCATACTCTACATGGCATGGCTATTGGCCCTGTCTCATCTGAGGCAGATTGGGTATTCTCTGGAAGGAATAAACCTATGTTTAGATGGGGAAACACGCACACTGGAGGGTGAAAGTGGCATTTAGAAAGCAAGAAGAGTGAAAGTTTTACAGACCAAATATAGAACACTAAGCTTTCATGAGGCACTCAACTCTGAATGCCAATGGCTTATATTACCAAAGGGAATCAGAAGGCTATTATGTGGAGAATATAACTAAACCTACAGGAAAACCTAAAGGTCTGACATCACAGGTTCCTCAAATAAGCAGCTGATTCAGATCACCTTACAAGGTACCCAACGGGCAACAAATTTACCATGTGTTTAGAGCTTCTGCCCAATATTTTCTTCTCTTTAATGCGCATGGATATCAAAGAATTACCAAAAGCTTGCAAAGAACAAAGGGGAACCACCAAAGAAAAAGAAATAGAAAAAATTAGAAAAGCAAACTAATTTTTTTTTCAATGTAGAATTTCATATCCAAACACACAAAAATGTTTTCTAAGTGTAAAAGCAGAAAAAAGGTGCAAAGTATATGCCATTGTTTCCCAGGAAGTTACTAGCAGATGTTTTCCACCTAAACAAGGGAGTACACTGAGGAAAAGGAAAGCATATAATTCAAGAAACAGAGTCAGCACAAGAAAGATGAGAAGGGTATCCGCGGGGCCAGTGCTGTGGCATAGCATGTAAAGCTGCTGCCAGCAGTGCTGGCATCCCATACAGGCA